GAGGCTCAGGGGCGGTGAGAGGCTTCACCAGAGACAGAGTAGGGAGCAGAACAGGCTGATTGACGAAGTACACTGCTGAGGGGAGCAGCGGGAGGGTTAGGAGAGGTCTGCCACGCCATGTGGTCACCTCCGGGGCGGGCGGGAATCGAACTCATGCGGAAGTGACGTTAGCTTCTCAGTGCTGTGTTTTAACCCGCTGCGCCACCAGGGAGGGCCACGTAAGGCATTTCTTACTGTATGAAATTACTTTAAAAAATGTTTATTGCCCATTTCAACCTTGGATTACAAATTCTATGAGGACAATCTATTATTACTAAATCTTCTGGATCTGCAATAGGATAGGTACTCGCTAAGCATTTCCTAAGTCACTCATAGGAGTAAGGTGACTTCAGAATTTTTGAAAGAAATTTGCTGTAGGTGTCATCACCCATCACAGCATGCCCACGTATTTGAAAATAGTTGAGTAACCCCTGTGGCTCATCCCTGACTGCTGGACTCGGTGACAGTCGAAGAGTCAAAGTACATGAAAATAGCATTTTTTTTTTTTTTTGTCCTCCAGCAACCAAAGTCTATCAGCAAGACAGATCATTTAGCTCATTCAGACAATAAAGTACTGAAGTGCTGTGTACACAGAGGACACATGAGTAGGTTCTCCAGGTTTAACGGTGGCAAGAGCTGATTAGAAGAAGAAGCTTCTTGGGGCAGTGGTGAATGAACCAAGCTTGGATAGAGTAAAGCGCTTCATTGGCAGACAAGATTCAGGGAAAGGGAGCTGTAGGCTGGGCTACTGGCAGAGATATAAAGGAGAGATATAAATGGGTGAGGAACGCAGCATGACCAACTGTCCTGGTTAGTCTGCCATTGTTCCAGTTTCACTACGGAGAGTCCCATGTCCTGGAAAACTCCTGCATCCCAAGGAAGCCAGGACAGTTGGCTATCCTTCAGATACACTGTTAGGTCACTGGGAGTAGGTCTTGGTGACTGGGGCCGGCATGGGTGCCAGATATGAGGAGGGCATTGTTCAGTGAGGACTGGAGAGGGGTCCTGGTGCCCTGTAGGCATCAGGAAAGACTTTAACTTTTCCTTTGACAGCGAAGAGTCACTGGAAGGTACGGATAGCATGACAGGACTGAGGTCATAGAAAAGTTCACTACGTTTTAGTTGAGCATGAGCCTTTCTACTGGAATGTACAAGGAACTCCAATATATAGTTTGTACACACTTGTGGCTGGTTTGGCTGTCAGGACTTTGTCTCCAAGAGTAGCACATCTGGGACCCCTAGGGCAGGCTGGGGAGGGTTCCTGTGTAAGGAAATGATCTCCAACTCTTGAACAGTCAATCCAGAGGCAAACTGTCCACACCATCCCCGCTTTCCCGGGCCATGCATTCTCGGGCAGTTCTGGGAATGTCACTCTGGCTTCTCCACAGCTTCCTCTCTAGTGGAGAAGTGACTGCCTCCCTCTTCCCATCCAGACTCAATCTGCAGACCACACAGTCCTGAGTTTTTGGGGAAGTCATTCCAGGGGAATTTGGGGAACGTTTTCTTTCTGTGCCCGTGGGGAGGCAGGAAAGCAAGTGTGTCTGGACAAGCCCAGAGCTTTCCAGCCCAACAGGTCCAGTGGGTGGGGTGGTGGCCATGCTGTGAATGCTAAGGACCTGTTTCTAATGTCCGACATGCCCCGAGGGAGGCATGGCTCCATGCCAGACACCTGCCATTCTTGATTCTTTCTTCTCCCTTCTCTTCCTCATCCAGTGCAACCTCCTGTGAATTCTGCCTTTTAAGCCTTCCCCGAGGTCAGCAGCACATTTTTACAGGGCAAAAGGGGTCTTGCTATTTTTTTCCTTTCTTCTTTATCTTATTGGCAAAAGTGTCCTGATCACGTTGTTACTATATTTTGGTGCCTTAGTCACACACACCTCAACATACTCACACACCCCTCAACACACATACATACACCCCAATACACACACCCCAATACATAAATCTCCAACATATTTTGAATGCATACTTCAGCACACTCACCCCAACACCTATACCCCCAAATACTCCACATACATTACCTATGCTGCCCCCCACCCCCACATGCACGCACACACACACAATCCAGGCTTTGAATTCAGTTTCACATCAACCTTCTCAGGCTCACCACCATCACATACACAACTCCCCCACAAGGCTGCAATTTCAGTTTACGGTGCCCCGGGCAGTTCTTATGCCAGGGACCGGTCCACTGTCTTGCACTTAGGCCTCGATTCCTGGGAGTCAGTCATCCTTGGGCTCCCACTTTCAGAGGCTTCCCAGCTCCAGAGATGCCCCTGACTTTGCAGTTGAGGGTCCCCATTGGCCTGAGGAAGGAGGCAAAATGGTGCCCTTTCTCATCCTCAATGTCTTCCTGCTTTCTCTGCCCCAACCCCCATCCAGTTTATTCACTCAGAAACCACTGTGTCTACCCTGCTGGTGACACCACCCTGACCAGCGCCATTCCCCCCTCCTTTCTTCTTCCTTGTTGCTCGCTAGCTGGGTGGTCACCCCATCTTGAGGAAAGTTGCCTTGAATAGTTCACATTAGGTTGGACTACATATAACAGAATCCTTGAGACAATGTTGAGTTAAACCCCTGAGATTGTCTTCTCTAATAACAGCTGAGGGTGGGTGTGGCCCTGTGAAGCCAGCATAACCCCGCTCCGGTCTTTCTGTTCTGCCATCCTGAATGGGTGAGGAGTCCATCATTCTGGAAGGCCCTTCCAGATACCCCTCCCCAACTCTGACCTTGACTGGCTCTTTCCTACCTCTTCCAGGGTCATTTCAAATGCCAGGGCCTACCCCAATAAGCTCTCCTCCAAGTTCCTCTCTTGCTTCCATTCCCTGCAAACCCTGCAAAGCCCACAGGACCAGGCTTTCCCCTCATCTGCCCCTAACACTGCCTTTCACAAGGCCCAGGGCTAGCGGCTGCAGGTCTGGCCCACCCGCTGACTAAGGTAGAGGCAGGGTAGAATTCTGTTTCTCCTAGATCCTCTGCACAAATGTACAATGCCTAAGAAAATGCTTTTGAATGATAGATGGAGGCGTCAAGAAGCACTGGAGATGATGCTGAAGGGCCCTGAGCCCAGAAGATGCCCTTGGGGCCAGAGGCGGTTAGTTATCCACACTGTGCAAAATAAGTGAGATGTCAGTGTGTATGTATTTAATTCATAAAGAAATCTTGGCTAGCTGAGCTCTAGTAAATAACAGTTTGACCTCATTATTTACAGATACAAAGAGTGTGTCATACAGGGATTTTATAATAATGCATATTCTTAGCTTCTTTTGATTAGTGATAGTGAACGCCAGCCGATGAATGTTTTAGTACCTGTGCCCCTGATGGAAGCCAAGGAATTGGCAGCTTCTCCTTTTTATTTTTAATTAAGTTCTTTGCTCTGTGCGATGGCTGAATCAGTGGGAAGTTGTGGGGCTATGCTAATCATTAGACACTCTAAGGGGTATGAAGGTCAAATGAAGTTTAACATTAGGTATTTTTGCATCTTTAAAGCTTATTCCTGATCTCCCTTTATAGCTTTCTTTTTCTTCTTTGTTGGGAGAGGTTGTAGAAGGCCAAATGTTCCAAGCCCTGGTTTAAGACCAGCTAGCACATAGAAACCAGGGCAGATAGGTCTTGCTGGCAGGGGGAGCCCCAGGATAGGCCTGTTAGCCTGGCCTCTGCTCAGGGTTCTATTGCTGTGCTAACACAGACTGACTCTGGGAATCTTTTATCAACTTAGAGAGCCAGCGCACAATACGCATTTGTCCTTCAATCGGCCAGTACTAAAACACTTTGCCCCTTCACAGTGGGGTCTCCTAATTAGATATAAATACATTTATCCATCAAGCAAAAATCTGATCCTTCCCCTTTTCATTCATCTTTTTCTCTCTCGCATTTCAAGCCATCATCTAAGGTATGGGAAAGGGACCGTGCTGAAAGAGCTGAATGGCTGGGCCCAAGGAGGTGTGTGAGAAATGCCTCCTTTCTGGGATTAGCACCTGACTCTCCCTGGGCTGGGGCCTAGGGTGGGGAAGCAGAGGGAAGAGAGGGGAGAGCAGTGTGAGGGAGGGTGCGGCCCAGCCCGGAAAGGGCTGAAAATTGAGAGGACTTGAAATTAACCAGCTTTATGAGCCAATCAATAGGCCTGGGCTGTGGGGGAGATTAAGCTGGTAATGGCCCTGGGCTTTTTCTTCTTCTACAACCACAGTGGTTCCCCTGCAGCGTTCCCTTCAATGGCAAGACAGACCGTTTTACTGACTGCGAAAATTCAATTAGAGTCTTATGTAAGGAAGGAAGAACTTGCGAGAAGCCTGACATTATCATGGTTTTCTGTTTTCGAGCTGTCTTAGGGTGGGAGCCTCACAGGTACTGATTTATATGAATAGGGTTGCACAAGTGTGTGGAGTGCGGGAATAGGGGTCCTCAGCCTCTTTTATAAAGATTTACTTATTTATGCATACAGAACTGGGGTACACGCCAAAGCTGCAGGGGCGGTGAGAGGGGTCCACAGCTTTTATATACAAAATTAAATTAACACATTCATTCATTTTGTTTAAAAAACAGAAAGGATGTGTTGCCTATTTCTTGAGTAATTTCCTTGTTTTTACAATTTCCTGTGTTGCCCCTGTCACATAATAGAATTCAAGAATGCAATCTTGGGACACAGTGCATTCTTTTCTATTTTTTTTTAAAGATGTATTTATTTGTGCATATAGAACTGGGGTATAGGCCAGAGGTGCAGGGGTGGTGAGAGGATTCACCAGAGACAGAAGTGGGGAGCAGAACAGGCAGATCATTGAAGTACATTGCTGAGGGGAACGGTGGGCAGGTCAGGAGAGGTCTGTCATGCCATGTGGGTCACCTCTGGGGCAGGTGGGGATCGAACTCATGCTGAAGTGGCCTTAGCCTCTCAGTGCTGTGCTGTGCTTTAACCCGCTGTGCCACCAGGGAGGGCCCTGGTGCATTCTTTTTGGTGTTTCAGAATGGTCTCTGTCATCTTCCTGAGCACAGATAGCAAGGTGAGCCCTGCTATTCAGGAACAGCTGCTGGAGACTGAGGACTACTGTTTGGGGTTAGGGGAGACTTGATACTTGGACCTGTGCTGCCACGTGGATTAGTTGGGTTTGTGGAGACTCAGGGAAAAGCAACTTCAGAAACACTTCACTTTTCTTTTGTCACAAGCTGTAAAATAACCATCTGACTGCATCCTTGCCACACGCAGACATATCTGTGAACTGTGAAAATGACCAAGGGAGGTAAGAATGGGGTGGGGAAGGACTCTCAACACTGTATGCTCAGTGCTCCCACCAGCTGCTCAGGCTCAGTGTCCAGTGGGAAGGAGCCCCATCCTGCCTTCCTTTGTACGTTTTTGTCATCACTGCCTCTACTTAGCCTCGGGCCTCCTCTCCTCCCCAAAGGGCAGGCTTTGTCAGCCACTATGATCCTGCCAATACCCTCCTGCCTTGATGAGGGGCCACATGCCCTCCTGGCCCCACCACTTCAATCTGGGCTGACCAGCACTCTTATCGGGGGGTTGGCCTAGCTACCATGGACTGACCTATGATCCTCATGCACACCGGCATGTCATACTGAAGACTCTTCTGGGTGACCTTTCCTCTTTCAAGTTCACCTGGAAAATGCTTCCTTATACGTTAATACTCAAGATGTCCTGAGATTCCTGACAGAGGAGGTTGTTCCATGTCTTTTCTGCCACTACCTGACATCATCCCAGTTCCTGAGCCTTACACACTGGCCTCCCAGTAAGCACTGCCCCCACCACCCCCCTCCCTACCCCCAGTCTCTGTGTGTGTGTGCGCTTGCGCATGTGTGTCTGTAGGAGTGGGGTGGAAAAGGGTCAGGGAACTCTGAAATGTGTGCACTGCTTTATCCCTGGCAGCTAGCTCTTCATGATTATTGAATGAATGGGAAGGAATTCTGTGCTAGGAATAGTTTGTGATTAGCAATTTGAAGTGGGACACTAACCAAATGCTGTATTTAGCGCCTCTATTTTTCTAGAAAACATACCAACTTGGACAGCCCTCTCTACGGGGCCTGCTGTTGAAACATTTCCTGAGTGTTCAAAACATGTTAAATCCTACTCCCTCACAAACTCCAGTTCCCCACCCCCAGCCCTTGCTGCATGAAGTGGAGGAGGGTTCCCCCAAGATGCTAGCTTTTTCCCAGTGTCTTGGTCTTACTGAGAATGAGGCCAGAGAAAATGATGAGCACAGTCCTTGCTAGCAGATAATAGATTTTAGGTGTTTGGGAGCTGAGGGAGTCATCACAGAGGATGACTAGATGAGAAGCCCCTTAAGACAGGTGTTTTTTTTTTTTTTTTAAATTTATTTATTCATAAATACAAGAACTGAGGTTCAGGCCAGGGATGTGAGGTTGAGAGGATTCACCAGAGACAGAGTGGGGAGCAGAACAAGCAGATCTACTGAAACACACTGCTGAGGGCAGCAGCCATGTGGGTCAACTCCCAGGCTGGCCAGGGATCAAACTCTTGCTTTAGTGGCTGCTGATAGATAGCTTGATAGTACTGTTGCTAACCCCTGCATCACCAGGGAGGCCCCCAGAAGACAGTTTTGTGTGAAAGCCTGATTTAGAATTTGCACGGGCATATAAGACGTGTATTGTGCCTGTCTGTCAGCAAGCATAGGCCAATGGGAAGCCAGAGGAGAAGACATGAGGTGGCCTGCCTTGAGGGCTGCTTGGAACTCCAGTCTGCTTTTGAATCCCACACTCATTAACCAAGGCACACAGGGCGACTCAGTTCCTCCAAGATCACTTGTGGTGAGCCGACTGCAGCTTGTGAGCCACCACAGGTCAGACATTGTGCTGGGTGCCAGGCTGCTATGGATAAGCAGCACAGACAGTCTTAACCTGGGATCTCATGTGTAGCCAGGATGACAGGCATCCTTGCCAATGAATGTGGGCAATCGCTGGGGCCCTCAAAAGGGGCACCATCTCACTGCCCTGGGGAGAATGTCTTGTTAAAATAATGTGCCGGGCACTCCCTGGTGGCACAGCGGATTAAAGCACAGCACTATGAAGCTAAAGTCACTTCTACATGAGTTCGATCCCCACCCGGGAGGTGACCCACATTGTGCAGCAGACCTCTCCTGACCTGCCCGCTGCTCCCCTCAGCAGTGTACTTCAACAGTTGGCCTGTTCTGCTCCCTGTTCTCTCTCTGGTGAATCCTCTCACCACCCCTGCACCTCTGGACTGTACCCCTTTCTATATGCACAAATAAATAAATCTTAAAAAAAAAATGTGCCTATGCCCACTATCATTAAGGACTGGACTTTGTGACTCTGATGACATGAAGTGGACTTGGGGCATCCTAAGGGGGTTCTGTGCTGATATCTGGGGTTTAACAAAGTTCAGTTAGGTCCCCTGTCCATCAGGACCCTTCTGACTTGATCCTGCTTTGCACCTGGCAGCAGGCTTGTCCACCTCCAGTGTCCTAGGCTGCTGGGTAGCAGATATCTCCTCCTGTCTGGCATGCAGCTCCTTCCATGCAGACAGTGAGCTGTTCAGGAGAGGGAGGGTTCATGGTGGTGATGTTTGGCAACAGAGGCCAAAATCATGGTGGAAAAGTCTCTGAATCCAATTCTGCCCAAGGCGTCTCTCAGCCCAGGCACTGATGTGAAGGACTTTTTTTCACCTCCACACCCCACAGGGGCCAAACTGCTCCTGGGTGCTCAATTCTCTTAGCAAATGAGCCCCAAAGCTCATCTTTAAGGTTTGCCTTGTCCCTCTTGAACATTTCTCATCATATCCAAATTGACATTTAGCTACGGATTATGCAAACAAAGAAGCCAAAATACTGTTGTGAGAGTAAGTGTACTGAGCTACCCTGAAGAAACTTTCTCTGTTCTGTGTCTGCCAGGTTTCCTCTTGTTTTACTATTTGGGCCCCAGTTTCTTGGTGGTGACAAGGAGTCAGTATTTCGTATGGAGGCGGCCTGGTCTTGCAGCCCAGTGTAGGGCGTTGGCTACAGTATTGATGTGCATTATTGTATTCAAAACTGACAGGCGCAGTCACATCCTTGGCTGTGACTGAAGGCTGAGGTCACCAGCACAGAAGAACTGAACCCAGTGCTAAATGAGGCTTTGAAGCAACAGGAATAGGTCCTTGCCCCGCAGTAGGAGATGGGGGGCTCCCCCCAAAGCACAGGGTGATCTGGAAGAACTCAATTTACACCCTTGGCTCCTGCAGGCTGGGGGATCAGCAGAGGGCGGGATAATCCCAGCTTCTCGAGCAGATGGTTTCTGACTACCGCTTGACCCAGTTCCCTCCCAGCAGATGACTGGCAGTGGGGCTGAGAGCTCCTCCACCAGGGGAGCAAAATGTGGACCCTCCTCTTAGCTTCTCTTCCCTCCTCCTATCGGCAAGGACTCTGTGACTCTTGCCTTGCCCCAGCACTAGGTCAACCAGTAGCATGCTGCACTTCTCAAAGGCATGGAGCCCCCATACAGCCCTGGCCCTGATCAGTCCGGACGGGACTCCCAGCAAGAAGGTTGTAACTCGCAGGCAAGGAGTGCTACTTACTGTGAAGGCTTGTGTTGGGGTGGGGGCTGTCAAAGCCTTCATTGTTTTAATGACTTCTCTCATTTATTCACTCAGTCAATCAAGCACTCAGTCAGCAGATCCCCTTCCTTGCCCCATCATCTTCCCAATCTGGCTAGACAGGGCTAAGGAGGCACTGAGTGGAAGGACCAAATCTGGCAAGTAATTATTCAGGGCACAAGAGGGTGGTGGTGGGTTTCACCGAGAAGGATAAACTGGGCTGGGTATTGAAGACTGAGAATGAGTCTGCCAAGTGTTTGGTGGCTGTGGTGATGGAAAAAGCTAGAGGATCGGATGTGTGTGCTTGGCAGAAGATGGAAGCAAAATCATGGCGGTGGGTCCAGAAAGCTATGTGTTTGGGAGCCACAAGGAATTAGGTTCTGTAGAAGAGACTGAAGGGTCGTCATTTCAGAGAACCTCCTGGGCCCCTGCTTCTGGTTTCCGCTTGATAAACCCAAACCAGCTTTATTTTTGCTTCAGGGGAGGGGCCAGGCACCTTCAGGTCTGTTCCTCCATTGGGAGGGAGGGGGCGCTCCACCTCCAGACTTGTGGGCCTAGGTGGGGCTGCCGATCAGCGCTGATCACCACCGCAGCAGCAGGCTGGCATGAACAGCTCTGAATGGGTGGGGTGGGGAAGCTGGTGTGGGTGGAAGCCTTAGCTGAAGGCCAGCACTTCAGCTGTCCTGGCTTCCCCCTTATCCTAGGAAAGCCAGAATTGCCCTCCCACCCGACTTCCACCTGACAGTCGGGCTGCTGCACGGGACCTTCACAGAGGGTTGGGGTCTGGGAGAGCTAAAAGCTGGGCCTGTTCCCAGAGGGATCTCTGTACTTTGTTGGCATTGTCTTGCAGCTCCACACCCACAGGGGGGCGTGAGGGGAGGCTGAAAGGAGGAAGTGTACTTGGAGTTCTGAATAGGGCTGGGGATTCCCTTTCTACTGACAGTGTCTCTTATCTGTCCCCCCAGGAACCATCACTTACTGGGCTCTGGGAGGCGCTTGGCCCAGTTCTATCCTCTGAGCTCCAACCAGCCCAAGAGATAAGGTGAGAAGGTAGTGACCAGTGTCAAGATTTTCTCCAAGGTCACTCCCACAAAGCTGGTTGTGATTGAGCCTCCAGTGGAACTGTACTTGTCTTGCCAAGGTCTGCCGATTTGGGGGTGTTGGTGGTCCGCAAGCGCTGGAGCGCAGAGGCCTGCCGGGGAGGTTGGTTCCCTGCATCACCTAAATGTTCCTCCGTGTCGGGAGCTGGCGGACAGCAGCCGGCCAGGCCTCCAGCGCCTCCCCGCCACTCCAGCTCGCAGGGCCCACGCCTCTACCAGTACGCCGGCTTGCCCCGGCGGCTCGCGCTCGGCTGGGGCACTGCAGCCTCGGAGTGACATCCACCCGCGGAGTTCAGCCGGTGGCGCCCGAGGCCACACCACCGCCCCCGCCTCGTCAGGACATCGAAGGAGCACCCCTGTAGGGCCGGGGGCGGCCGTGGCCACTAACGTTGCCTCTCTGGATTGCGGAGGAGGGCAGCGGCAGGGACCAGGGCAGGGCCTGTGTCACCGCGGGGAGGGGACAAACACCAGAATCCTGGAAGGCGAGCCCGACGGTGGTGCCCGCAGCCCAGCTGGGTGAGGGTCCGGGGCGCCCACGTGCTGGGAAAGTTTCGAGAG